GTCCCATCCATGTTGATGTAAAAGTTGGGTATTCATCCTTTCTGACGGCTGAGTAATATTCCATTGTATATATGAACCGCATCTTCTCTATCCATTCATCTGTCGAAGGACATCTTACGAATGGTTGTTGTACTTTGTTAAATGCTTTTTCTGCCTCTGTTGGAATGATCATATGGCTCTTATCCTTTCTTTTATTAATATGATGTATCCTGTTGATTGAGTTGTGAATATTGAACCACCCTTGCAACCGAGGAATAAATCCCACTTGATTGTGGTGAATTGATTTTTTTTTAATGTATTGTTGGATTTGGTTTGTTGGTTTTTTTTTTTTTTTAGAATTTTTGCGTCTATGTTCATCAGAGATATTGGCCTGTAGTTCTCTTTTTTAGTTGTGTCTTTATCTGGTTTGGGTATTGGGAATGATGGCCTCATAGAATGAATTTGGAAGTTTTCCTTCCTTTTCTGTTTTTTGGAATAGTTTAAGAAGAATAGGTATTAAGTCTTCCTTAAATGTTTGGTAGAATTTGTTTGTGAAGCCATCTTTTTGATTACTGATTCAGTTTCTTTGCTGGTTATCCATCTGTTCAAGTTTTCTATTTCTTCCTGTTTCAATTTTGTTAGTTTATATGTTTCTAGGATTTTATCCCTTTCTTCCAGGTTGTCCAGTTTATTGGCATATAGTTTTTCATAATATTCTTGTATGATTGTTTGTATTTCTGTGATGTTAGTTGTTATTTCTCCTCTCTCATTTGTGATTTTATTTGTTTGGATCCTTTCTCTTTTCTTTTTGATAAGTCTGGCTGAGATTTTATTAATTTTTTAATTTTATTAATTTTTTCAAAGAACCAGCTCCTGGTTTTATTGATCTGGTTTTTTTTTTTTTAATTTCTACATCATTTATTTCTGCTCTAATCTTTATTATTTCCTTCCTTTTGCTGGGTTTGGGTTTTGGTTGTTGTATTTTTTTCTAGCTCCTTTAGGTTGTTTATTTGAGATTTTTCTTGCTTTTTCAGGTAGGCCTGTATTGCTATATACTTCCCTCTTAGGACTGCTTTTGCTGTATCCCAAAGGTTTTGGACCACTGTGTTTACACTTTCACTTGCTTCCTTGTATTTTCTTTTATTAACTAATTTGAAATTTTAATTCCAGTTTATTATAAGTTTTAAAAATATGCATCTTATTCTTGACAATTGTGTTAAACTTCACAGCTACAAGAACAATTATTTAGACTTAACTATTACATTTACCATTTGGTTTATAGTGTTTCTTCCTTTTTCAGCCATCTTTGCCCTAATTCCCTTATGGTTTGGCTTAATGATCCTGAGTGCTTTCCCCTGCACCTGATTAGTAAATGGTTTGCTTTCTGATTCCTTGTATTTTTGAAAATGACTTTCTTTTGTCCTTGCCAGGTAAGGATAGTTTGACTGTGAATTGAATTCTGTAAGGAATTATTGCCTTGTCTTTTTCTTTCATAATTTGATCTTTATTTCATTATCCTGTAGCTTGTAGTATTTAGTATTAGAGATGAAGAGTTGATAACAGTTTTACTTTTTTTTTTGAAGAGGGAGAGGGAGAGAGAATTGTAGGCACTGAGTGTGGAGTCTGATATGGGGCTCAATCTCATGATCTCAATCTCAGATCATGACCTGAGCTGAAATCAAAAGTCTCATGCTCAACTTACTGAGCCACCCAGGTGCCCCAAGAGTTTTATCTTCTTTACTTTGTAGGTAATGTGTTATTTGCCTACTCCCATTTGTTTACAGTTCATGCTTACTGCCTCCTTCCCTGATCTAATTTTTGTGAAGAATTTTTTTTTTTTT